GTATGTGGCAATGAAAATGAAACAGCATGCTAGTATAGTATACTGTATAGTATAGTTTTTTTAGTATACTAAAAAAAACCCCAAGCAACTCTACAAAGATAGGCAGTATGATTTCTATTTTTTCCACAGAATACCCATTGGGTTAAATGTCATCCTTTATTAAACCATGCAATACCAGTAACTTTGATCAGGTTATCCAACGTATTCAAAGGTAGAATTTAACGTGAGTTTTACTATTGGTCTTATGTGGTATGTATAATATAATAACACAAGAGTCTATAAAGTATGCTTTCATCATGTATGACATAAGAAGCATTTAAAATAAATATTTCATAATGAAGATAGTATTTTGGTCCTCATCCATAGGCCACTGTAGTCAAAAAGAACATTTTCATTGACTTCATTTGTTTTTGCTACCAGACTTTTTATATTGTACAGTTCTGAAAAACTGTTCGATATTAAACTTATATACAGTCACATTGCCTTGGAAATCACATGTGAGGAGTAAAGTGTCAAGAAGAGACTTGTTTATTTGCTGTGCACACATTCAGCAATCCATTATTAAATGTTAAGAACATTTGTAATAGCTAGATTAATTTTACAGCAGCTGTACTAACTCCTTACAATATGAAAGTAAATACAGTGGGATGAAGTGGAGATTGAAACAGCAACAAACTCCATGAGCTAAGAGAAATGTTTTTAAAAATATGATGAAATCCTGCTACTGAATGTGTTTATCTTTAAAAAATAGTGATTTTGATGTGGTTTTACTTCTCAGGAAAACTTTTTAAATATCACAACACAGTTTGGATTGCAGTTGAAGGCTTTTTGGGGTTGGATGTTTAATTTTTTTACTTATTATTTTTATTTAGAATACCAAATGATTGTTAGAATGGATTGTGGGGGTGAGGAGAGGTTGGCTACAGGATGGTGGGTTATGGACAAGATAAAGTGAGCTTTAGGAGTGGGGTGAAGTTGACTGTGAGTTGTCAGGCTGTGGAAGACAGGGCTGTAGAGGGGGACGGAGGTGTACTAGGGATTCTAAAAGACTGAGATCTGCCATTTCAGAAAGTAGATTATGCTGCAACAGAAGAATTCACTTGGCTTACCATGGATGTGAACTTGGTCAGCAACATTCTGTGACAGGTAAAAATTAAGTTGGAAACATGATTAGCTAAGTTTTATAAGACTTGGTGACCTATGCTACCTTCAGTACAGTAGGTAGTTAAGACCAAAGTAATTTAAATGAAATAACCATCATGATATTGATGCAAGGTACATCTGTGCCTCACAAGTCAAACATTTATGAAATGGCAGGGTGTGGCCCATAGTGTGTAATCATGAATTAATTTGATTTCAGTAGTGGATTTACCTTTATCAATAAAAAATCTCCAAGAAAGTTACCTTTGACCACCAATGCTTCTTTTCTCCTTCATCCCTTCTGTCACAGTACTTGACTGAATACTTTAAAGAAGAGAAACATAAGAATCAATTAGAGCAGAGTCCTATTTTATTTGTCCCAATTCCCAGAAGGGGCATAAATTGATATTTAACCCTAGTCAGCACTGACATTTACCTGATATTGACCACAAACACAGTGTAATTCCACTTCTGGAAGGTTTGATTTAGCTGAAAAATACAAAGAGAATAATCATAAGGATGGAGTAGTGCTACATTATACATGAAAAGAAGAATAAAAACACAAACCCACTTCAGAACCCTGTCCATCCTCTCTACCACCACACAAAGTTCTCTCTTGCCCTTATCACCTTTATGTAGAAAAACAGAGAGCATCTTCCCATTCCTGTGAAATTATTCCTTTATAAAGTTTGATTTTATTTTCCTATTGGGGAGGGGCACTTCAGTGGGGAGAACTTCACTAAATGTACTTTGTAAGAATAGACAAGTACAAGAGACACTTAAACCCCCATGCTACTATTTATAGAGAGGATGTGGTTGGAAAAGATTTTTGGATGCTGAATATTGTGGAAAATATAATGTTATGGTTTCATCAAAAGCCTATAAGCTGCTGCTGAGCCTCTGTTTTAATCTTGTATTGGAAATATTTTTAAACTTGCAGTAGGTGTTCAGACTTGCCCTTTTGAAGACAACAGGAATTTTACCATTGACTTTATAGGATACAGAGTCAAAGATTTTAGTGCTTGAAGACATTAATTACTTATTTGTCTCTCTCCTCACCTAAACAGTTCACAAATAGAGGTAAGAGATCCATGAAGCCTACTATTTGCAAATACCATGCATGGTTTGGTTTGGTTTGGTTTGGTTTGGTTTGGTTTGGTTGCCTGTGGGAACTGGATTGAGTGGAGTGCCATTGCCATCATGTGTGACAGAGACAGATTCTCAAGACCGAGAAGAATTAGCAAGGGGAACCTTGTGTGGTGAGGGGAAGAGGGTGAAGCAGATACTGATAACAATTTATTCCCCACCCAGACTGTGGTCTTAAGGAAAGACTGAGAATTAAGAGGAGTGCTACTACTGGGGAGGTAGACTTTGTTGCCTGCCATGAACATTCATTCTAAGTATGTTCACCTATATTATGTCAAAGGGCACTTTATACTGGTTGGGAAAATAACATGTTCTTGGCCCCATTCTACAGAATGAAAGCTCCATATTCAGTGATTCCTAAAGCATGTCGGTGAGAGATTTAATCAAACTTTTCAGTATAACAGGTAATCCACACACCATGACTGATTTCATTCCAACCTCATTGTGGGATTAGCATGCAAAGTAGACTGTATTTGATGCAGCTTGAAGATGCAAGGTCTCCCATTCTTCAGGCAGAACTGCAAGCAATTTAATCACACACTTCTACTATCGATCCCCTTTACGTCCATGCTGTATGAACCATCTGAATGAACCAAACTGCTTCGAAGACTAGCTTTGCACCGTGCAGTTCTTCCATAATGCAGGGTGAGAGAGTGCAGTTATTCACATGCAGTAGGTCAGTAAGAAGCAAACAGTACAGGTTTCCCTCGATTTATGCGGGTTCTGTATATGTGAATTCACTCTTATGTAATGAGCACTTATGAGCTCTTACACAATGAGCATTTTTAGACCCATAAGTCATTATATGCGAGGTAAATTCACTCTAATGTGATTGGCATAGGTGCCCCCCACCCAATCAGGTAAGTCTGTGGGGGAAGGGGAAAGGGTCATGGGGCTGGGGCCCCACTCACCCCAGCCCCTGCTGCAGCAGCCCCAGGAGCAGCCGGCACCAGCTGCCTGCAGCTGTTGGGCTGCACTGTGTTTCGCCTGTCCCCCCCATGCCTGGGCTCCGCCTGTACCCACTCCCCTCAGCTCCTGGGATGTGCTATACCCTGGTGTAGGCGGCTGGTGTCGGCTGCTCCCAGGGCCGTTGCAGCAGGTGCTGGGGTGAGTAGGAATAAGCAGAGCACCGGGCAGCACAGGGCACAGTGCAGCTTGTCCGCACTCACCTTAGCCCCTGCTGCGGCAGCTCTGGGAGCAGCTGGTGCCAGTTGTGGAGAGAACTGTCAATGGGTGTGGGTGGGATGTGCCTCTTGCTGCTCTGCACTCCCTGGGAGGGCCACACTGAGTGCCAGGAACAGTCCAGTGCTGCTGCTGGCCCCAGCCTGCAGCACCAGCCTGCTGTTGTCCTGCACACAGATCTGGGGGAACGCGCCCCCCAGGAAGAACCTGGCACAGCTCCCCAACCTCCAGCCCTCCCGGGGACATAGCTTATGAGGAAAAACTGAGGAAGCTGGGTTTATTTAGTCTAGAGAAGAGGATTTCATAGACATTAGGGAGGAGACTGAGAGGAGATTTAATAGCAGCCTTCAACTACCTGAAATGGTGGGGGGGGTCAGATCAATCACCATATTGAACCAAGGTCAGGAAGGAAGTTTACCTCACAGTTAGGTTGGTAAAGACTGTGGGGTTTTTTCCTTCTTCTGTAGTGGCGGGGCGGGGATGGGGAGAGGGGGTTCTTCCTTGAATCTCTCAAAAATATTTTAATACTCCTGCAGCAGCAGGCAATTGGCCATTGTTGTCTCCCTGCTTTACCTGTTAAAGCAGGTTAAGGTGTTGTGTTTTGAGGTTATGTGACAGGGTTGCCTGTGTAGTTTTAGTAATAGGTTAGACAACTAATTATATCAAATGAGCTGGATAGTAGGCCTGTGCGAATACGGAAGTATTCGATTCAGATTTGGATTCAGCCAATTCAGAGGACAGTGATTCAATTCAGAGATTTAGATCACTGTCCTGAATCGATTCGGCCGAATTAGCTTTGGAAGATTCGGCGCTAATTCGGAGAGATTTGGTGATTCAGCTATAGACTATAATGGGGAATCACAGAATTACCTATAATTTTGTCATTTTTTGGCAGATTTGGATGAAAACAGCAGGGATGGTAGCCCCTTCGCATGAAACCTGCCAAGTTTCAAGGAGATAGATGCAGGGGTTTCTGGGAAGCTGTACCTCAAACTGCTGAAAGCAAAACTTATGTCACTTGTGTGTGTTATGGCAGATTTAAGCAGGGATGGTAGCCTATAAGAGGGGGCCTTCCTGGTGCCAGTCAGATCTCTGCCCACTCAGCCGTTTCTGGGCCAGCTGCCTTCTCCTCTTTTGCTCAGGCAGAAACCATACACAAAAGGGACAGAAAGCTTGCAGATAGAGGCTTATATGCTGTTTCTATGTCCCTGCCCCCACAGCACTGTGATTGGAAGGGGACTCAGGGAAAGATCACAATCACTGGCCAGCTAGAGATATCAGACTTTCCCCCCCTGTTCCCCCTCCCTCTTCTCAGTTTCTGTTCCCCTGAAAGACTGCCTTCTGAATATCTGAATCTCTGAATCTTTTTCTGAATCTTTTCCGAACTGATTCAGAGGTATTTTTGGTCTCCCAATTTGATTTGGATTTGGTGATTTGGCCTCTGAATCAGGCCAAATCTTCTCCAAATCAAATTGGCGACTGAAGCTTTACACACCCCTGCTGGATATGGGTGATCTGGCCTCAGGCAGGGGGTTGGACTACATGACCTCCAGAGGTCCTTTTCATCCCTACTATTCTATGATCCTATAAGTCTAAGACTACAGTGAACATTTGACCCACCAGATCCATCAAACCCCTAGACTTTATTTTAATCATACAATCTGTCACAGATTCAAAGCCCTCTATTACCATGTAAATCCTATACCCATAAATCTTTTGTCAGAAGATCATCATGCTCCAAAAAGTTGCAACTTAATTTACATCTCTCAAACATGCTGCCCCCTTCATAGCATACTAAAGCAAACATTTATTATATAAAATGACAGAGAAAAGCTACAATACAAACTGGTTTTCTACATAGATAAAAACACCCACCTCAAACCATCAAAAAAAGATAACGAGTCTAAGTTATTTTTTCTTCTATACCTTGAATTAAGTTAAAATTTTACACTTTGGGCAAGGCTATTAATTTATAGAGCTTTGACTTTAAAACATGGTTTAGGTCAGTAAATTATCTTTAAATATGGACCAAGTATCACCTCAGATATTGTGTTATCAAAGCCTTCCACAGATAGTGAGAAATAGTTTATTTAAATGTAGGATGCATTTAATTATCTTTAGACTTTTGCAAAAGTAAAAAGAAAAACTGATCATGGCCATCCACCTCTTCCATCAATCCCTAAGTAAAAGAAAGAAAGAAAGAAAGATAGAAAGCATAATTTTATTTCTACACAGATCTAATAATAATAGCTGTCCTAATATGATAAAAGGGAGGAAGGAGGTATGTCCTGGCTCAAAGTCCAAAATGCCCCATAAACAAAAAATGCCCCATTTTCCTTCTTTTATAAATATGAAAATTATTATTTTATTTTACTTTATATTTCAAAGCAATCTCATCCTTGCTGTACACTTTAGCTTTAAAGCTGTTAATTACATATGAAATGCTAAGATCAAACATCAACATTAGATGAAACAACATCAGGTTTCCCTTGGTCTAAGAAATATTGCAAATGAAGACCTTTTTTATGCCAACAGCAGCTTGATGAGGATATTTTTTCATGCCTGATGACTATTATTTCCTGACTTTCTCCTCATAACTTTAAAGATCTCTGTTTACAGATCATCCAGTTCTGCATGGTCAGCTACATTTGGAAGGTTTCATATTTCCAGATTCCTTTTCTTAACATAAACCCAGCCTTGCATAGGAAATTCCT